TCATAAAACTTACTAGCTAGCTTTTTATTTAAACGGGCGTAGTAACTTTTTTAACCTCTTACTTTTTATAACTGGTTTAAAAACCGCGTTTTTTATACTGAAAACTAAAGTTAAATAGCGATATATTTACTAGCAGCGTTTTCATAAATTAACGCTATATACAAACGAGGTTTTTATAATAATAACATTTTTAAAGTTGAGTCATAAGTTATAATCGGTTATTATTATAAGTTTAAATTTATAAATTTAGCTTAACGGCTTAATCTTACGCTTTTTCCGTTGAACAACCGTATTTACGCTTATACGACTACGATAGTTAAAACGCGGCTTTTAAAAGACTAGCTGCTAGTGTGCCTTTAATATACTTGTATAACGTTTTTTTTACCGCTTTCACTATACGTTTTATAATATTACGCCGTTTTATAAAGACCTAGCCGGCGCTTATTGTTAGTATATACTTGCTTTTTCTTTAACGTCCTTTTTTAATCGATTATCTTATATATTGACAGTATAATCGCCGTGCCGGGCTCAGAGAGCTGCGCGATCGGCTTGTAAGAATTGGGGGGCGAAAACGATTTTTCATTACGCGATTAAATGTTAAGCAACATTTGTATTAATCACGTGTTTTTATAAAAATACTATACAATATTATTAAAAAGCAATGTTAGATCTTTTATAAAAGTCTCAAGTTAGCGGTTTTTTGAAAGCTTAACAACGTTTTAAATAAGTAACGGAGTAAGTTCGTTATTTCTTAATGCGAGGCTAGTTAACAACGCCGTAAACCGAGCGTTATCTAATTGTTTTATTAAGTTAAAATTTAAGCGGCCTTAAAAAAAAAAAAGGTTTATCAAGTTTTTTACTCCGGTTAATGTTGACTTATTATAAGTATTTATTTACGCTTTTAAAAGCTTTATTAACAGCTTAACGCACCGGCTTTTTTATAAATTCATTATAATTTGTTATTTTTAAAGTGTTATAATTATGTTTATAAAACAAGAAGCTCGCTTTTGTAATAAAATGTCGGCCGAATTAAGCTCTTATTTACGCTTTAATTATAAACGAGTTATAACTATCCGAATTTTTCAACGCGTATACCGAACGACTTTATGCGGTATTCTTAAAACCGGTTGCGCGTAATCACTATTTACAACCGATTATTAAGCGCGATTATTAAGATACGTCTCGCTTAAATATCTCAATTTCGTACCAGTTTATTTTTGCTTATTATATATGTGAAAGCTACTTGATAATACGTTATAAAAGTTAGGCACAACCGTTTTGATAGTTATAAAAAAGTCGGCGACTAGTACTAGTTTAACCGTAATATTTAAAGAAAACATCGTATTATTAAACGTTAACTACTTACATTTCGTTAAATTTATATCCCGGCGCGATATTAGGTATATTATAGTAGAAAAGCGGTTTAAAAGTCGAATATTAAATGCGGCGTTTTAAACCATAAACCGTAAACAATTTAAGCTTTTTTCATTAAAACACGTTAATATTATATTAACTTATATTAAGCTTTCGCAGGTTTAATATTTAACTAAGAAGCTTTACTACGCGGTATATAACTTATTAAGAAGGCTTAATTCTATTAATCCATCGCTTTTTCGTAAAGCTTTATTGAATGGTGATTTGTTTACTAAATTTAAAGTTATTTTAAAACCTTCGCCTTGCCTTTACTGTTCTTACCGAGGAGCGATTTCCACGATACTTTCAAAAATCACTCATCGTTAACAGGTATAGGTTTATATAGACTTATCTAGCGTTTTAAATAAATTATAAAGCTATATAGTAGTAGCTTTAAAGCGATAACGCCCGGCTCGTCGCACGACGAATATAAGAATTATATAGTATTAAAATCAAAAGCATCGTGGTTTAAACACATTTTTATGAATTTATTAGCAACTTATAAATAAAACCGAGTTTAACTCGTTTTAAAAAATAAAGGTAAAGAGGCTAGAAAGTATTACCAAATTTAAGAGACATTGCTAGTCTAAGAGGTTCGACCCCGTGCGGGATCCGCTTTCTGAAATCGTCCCGATATACACGCTCCACCACGAGTGGGAGCGACTTATCCTGTATAAGAGAAGTGTTTTGATACCTACTGGCTCGGTTGACCGGATTTCGGTTTCAGTTCTGTACTGGCAGCGACGTCCGTACGTTACGAGCTTGCAGTTGTGGTGTTCTGAAGATATGCCGGTCGAACTCGGCTATATCCTTCCCGACCATAAACGTTCCATTGAGGCGCCGGATCACCACCTACACGGCCTACACGTGTATAACCAGCCCTTTAGTCCGCCCGGCCTCAGCCGCATTGGTATCGCAAGCCTATCGACAGTAGCTGTTCCGCTACCGGGTGATCAGACCAGCATGATTCTGGCTTTTAAGAGAATGAGGGGCGTTCGCGCCGACCTAGATGTGAGTCAGCCTTCACGCCTGTATGGGTCCTAGCTCACAACGTACGCAGGGATCTAAAATACTGTGCCTGGGAACTTTTTTTTAGTCTGCGGGTCGGATCCCAACTTTACCAGGCACGAGGGAGGATTCTGGATGATGCCTGCCTGTGTCTCTATCTGGTGGGTGCCCTGGCCTTGACGATAAATGGATACCAGGCTGTGGCGATGTGCTTTCTGCGTTATACATGACTAGTGTGATCGATGTGTACTTATCTACTGGCTTACGAGCTGTTCCCGTTCAAACGCGCCCTGTCTCCTTCAAATGAACACTTTCTTACGCCTTTAAAATATAATAACGCCGACAATATGCGTCTTTCGGCCACTTGAAACCTCATGGTTAGTGCATGAGCTCTCCTATAGCGTGCCAATCTCTGGTCCCATGTGTCTTAACCAACTCACGCAAAGCGCCATCCTCATTGGTCGACCGTTTGATCCTTCGCTTTAGTAACCAGTTGCCTTCCCTTCGTTCGGCGGACAATTTGGATAGGCATTGCTGCAGTGTCCGCCTAACGGTCGTGGCGATTAAATACATGCTCTCGCCACCATTGCTCATTTGAATTAGTGTCTTTACGTCCTCTTCCAGCCACGTTTCGCGTTGGTCCATCAAGGTCGGCTCCGAGGTATGGCCAACGGTCTGGAGGCGCCGAGGATTTTTGGACCTTGCTTGTTTCTATTGCCGTTCCAAAAGTAGATGGCGCTAACGGCATTCACGCTCCGTCCGCTCCTTGAACTTTCCTGCTTGCTGCCAGTTCCTTCTTACAGCCCACCAATTTTTACCATATATCTCAACCAACTGACGCAAATGTGTTGGATATCATAGCAGGTCCACACGAGGCCTTCGGGGCTGAATGCGCTAATGGGTTTGGTTTGAGGGCAGTCAGCCGACCCTCAGGCCACCAGGATTCTGGCACCATTATCGTATGATGATCTGGTCACTCTGATGGCACACCTGTACATATATATGGGGGCTTCTCCCCCAGAGATCTTCTTCTCTTTTCCTTTCAATACTAGAACGATTTGAAATCTCACAAAATGGTTATCTTCTTCTTATGTCTATAAGTCGAATAGCCACGGTACGCCGACGCGTTTTATTCTCTCTCTTCATACTTTCAGTTCGCAACTCCGCGGTGTCCGTCCAAGGCGCATAGCGATAGATACGATGGTGTTGCCACCTTTCTTCATCTCTTTAAGCATATTTATGTCTTCTTCTATCCATGTCTCATATGTGTTGGGGTTGGGGGCGGGGTGGGCAACGGTGCCTATTAACGCTTGGTCCGATCTCGCTTCCAGGGCAAATGCGAAAGTCGAATTCCGTGCCGGGGGTAGTTCGGGTAGCCGTGGTCGTAAAGTAACGCAGGCTAACGGTTGCTGGCCCGTTGTAATAAGTGGTATAGAGCTTGCATTTTCGCATGGTTCGAGTGTGCTATTGGATTGCTCGGGTGGGCAAGCGCTGAGGGCGGCCGAAGGGGTCTCGTCGCAAACCAAATTGGCGATCTTCATCGCAGATATCCAGGCGAATTTTCAGCTCGATCGACGGAGTGAAAAGTGCCGCTAGCCATCCGGTAACAGCCGATTGCGCGTAGGTGAAGAGATCGAAAAGAAGCTGCTAAAAAGATAACCGAAGAGCACAGTGATGGCGGTACGGAAGAGAGGTAGTATCTACCAAGATTCCAGCGTGAGGATTCTAACGTGAGGTTATCTTAGAGCGATCGGTGTAAAGCATCCTGTGAATGTGGTCAAACGTAGCAACGACCTATCTTCAGCGATATATCGGATTTCTCTAGTAAGCCAATATTCTAACCCTTTCAAGCAAGCCCCTCACGCACAGTGCCTCGTACCGAGCGTGTAGCTGGAACGAGGAGGTGGTGTGCTTGCCGCCTGTGCCTGAGTTGGCGTGCTGCAGGACTGGGCTGTCTACACACCTACAGGAGCCCGCTTGCTTTGGAGCATCGATAATGCATAGGGGCAGGCATACAAGGGTACTTGCCTTCAGGGGTAGGGGAGCATCCTATATACATGGTTTGGTACTACTCTACCTTGTCTATCTACCCTATGGTGCATTTGATGAATCACGTGCATAGCTTGGTGGCTAAATTGTGTCGGTCTTGCCGATCCAGTAACCCGGCTCGTGTGGCTCAAATCGCCCCTTTTTTCATCTGAGATCTTGTAAAGCCCTCGAGTCAGCTGGTGGCTACATGCTGTTACCTTGGCTCGACGCGAGACTTAGCGAAGGCGGTTCAAGCGAGTTTGACGTCGTACTCTCATTTCTCGATGTACCGCAGCCCAATCCGTCACCCCTGCCGCAAGAAAAATCTGCCCATCTTTCGTATGGTAATCTTGGTACAGTCGTAGAAGGTGGTATCTCTTCAGGGAGGGTCCCCCAGCCTGCGAGGCTTATTGGAGTACCCGTGCTATATCCATCACAGCTACTGAGGTCAGCCAGGTCAACCTGCAGCTGCCTTGTACTTACAGCCACTCGTTTCGGCTGGAAGAGTTGTGTGCAGGGAGTCGAGGTAGCTATTGGTCTCTTCCCACCTCTCAGCGTACGCTTCTAGCAGAGTGGGAAAGGAATGACAAACCTTGTAGAAGCAATCCTGCGCGGGGATCTTGCATCTCGATGAGCACCATCTCAAAGCGTTCCCTGAGCCAGACAGGGACAGTCCAGGGGCCGGTAGCTTTGAAGACGAGATCACCAATACAGCCTGTCAGACCGTGCGTGTGGACCTGCTTCAACTGCGTAGGAAGCAACGACGCGCAACGTAGAAGTCGTATATCAGGTCTCATGGGACGGAAGATCTCGAGCTCCCACGGCTCTCCGACCAGGGCCTTTTGTATCATGACCTCGAAGTTTCTGCGTCTATGGGCACTATTGTAGAATTTCTGGTTCGTCTGGTACGCCACTCTGTCGGTATCCAATTGTAGGCGTATCTTGAAAAACCACTGGGCAGCAGCCGCTTTCGCTTGGCGATCGACGATAGTCTCCAAGTCAAGAAGAAGCAGCTCTTCAATCTCTGTCGGGGTCCAGGTGGGCGGCATTGTGTCGTTGAACCTCGAGCACCAGAGCTGCGTGTTTTGGTAAGATGTCTGCATGTACCTTTTCCCAACCCCGCCACCTTGTTCACAACCCCGCCACCTAATTTCAATTGTGGAGCAGGAGACTCGGACATCACCTCGCTTCGCCGGACCGACTAGTGCAGCGGGTGGCACTGCCGGCCAATCGCCAATCGCGGCCATCTGGGTGTGGATCCACCCTGCTCGGATATCGTGCTAAACCAATCGGGTTTCACGAGGATGTGACCGCAGCTGAACAGTGGACACGCCTTCGAAGTCGTCTACCCTGGAACATGCGCCCATTGACCGGGATGTGCGACCTTTTCTGGGATGTGGGTGCGAGTAGGTTGACACTTCCGTCAGGGCTTGACCAGCTGGCATTTCATTCTGAAATCATACATAGGAGGAGGTGCTGCCGTCGCACAGAGACTCTCGTGGATCTGCTCTCCCGAGTAAGTCCACGAGAGCGACCGACCGACCGTCCGACCGGGAAATTCGGCTACCATGGACTTCTACAGAACTTGCATACAGTCCGCCAGCTTTGGTCGACGTGAAACGACACTAATGAGCGAAGGAGTTCTGACCGCTACCAAGGTTTTTGTCATTGAGATTACGGCAACAAGCAACCTGTCTCGAGGACACTCGGCTCCCATGGCACTATAGTAGTGAGCGAAGAGTGTCTGGCTACCACAAACATCACAAAAGTGGCCCACACGGTACGCCAGTGTCGTCCACCGTATGGTCTACGGTACATCCCTCTCGACTGCCGATTGATACACTTTTACTGACTGTGTTACACCTTAGATACGACGAACTTCTCCGTGTTAGCTCAAGGCCGGCCTCTCGCTCTCGACGAGGTTCTTAGCTGTCACTATACGGTGGAAATCGATGTAGGCCGGGCTCCGGACCGCCACTCCACCCGCACTGCGCTATATCAATGGAGCATTGATGTCGCTCGTCAACATGGAGAACTGCTCAGAATGGGCAGAACCTACGAGATGATTTCGGCTGCGCTCGAGAGACATGCTCGGAAATGGAAAGGACTTGGCCCGCGAAGAACCGAGAAGCTCCATTGGGAAGAGACGACCACGCTATTGAGTACGTGAATCTTCATGCGCACTTTACTTTCCCGCACACACACCGTGCTTGCCATGGTCTAACTAGGTCTCACAGTGCAGCCAGTACCGGCGTCTGCTCAGCATGGCACGCTCTGGGATGAAAAGTTCGTGACAAGTGCGTGGGATGTGTCTGTTTGAACGTCTCGTTTCTTCATCAGGTCCTCTCGTCTCTCAGGCGCTGCGTCCCAAAGTGGTCTCGATATCAACTAAGTCTTCGATTTCAGGGTAGGGCAGATATGGATTGGAGCATTGTATTCGATGGAAATTCATCTACCCGTTAGTAGGAATGGCCATTGGGGTGACGGGAAGGGTCGTGATGTATATGTGCATGCATACTTGTTCGGCACCGTACTTGCAGACTGCGTCGTGGAATATCAGTCGGTCTCTCTAATTCATACCAAAACACTGCTCAATTTGCAGAATGCCGAAGGCTTGTGCCATCGTGAGGTACCTACACCGGCAAACTGCGTGAGCGCTTCCGATCTCGTCCTCGGTTGTTCTTACGTGGTACGAGCCTAGCTCAGTCGTGCAAACGGAAGTCATGTACATGGTGTACCAGCAGCCTGGGAAAGGTACGTCTATTACTCCGCCCTCGCCTCGTAACCGGAAGGCCGTACCGGCCCAGGCGGCTATTCTTTGGATATGGTACGTATAGTCGCTTCGATCCTTGTACTTGTTGCTGCCGTGATTGCCCGCGCGTCGACACGAAATATCACGACTGAACTGCAGTCCAGGTGTCTCCATACATGAACGCACGCAGTGACGAATGTGGAAGGAGGGACAGGCCAGCAGGTCAGTTCTCACATCTGGATCGAGCCTAGGCACCGTGTCGAAAACAAACGCGTTGTCTGCGGTATTGAGGCACGGCTCAGCACGGGATACAATTTCGAACGGCTAGCGGCCGAGGCGGTTCACCGGTTTTGGTACCATACATACTATTCACTGCAGGACATATGCGTGATGAGAGTTCAGCAACGACATAGATGATCGAGTGGTCCAACCTACAGTGGAGGAATACACCTTCAGAATAAGTAAAACGGTACTAATCTTTTCCCTGCGTACGTGGATAATGGCCATCCAGTACGTTCCTCATGGTACGCGAGCAAAACGATGCTGGAGAAGGATCGGAAGGAGCTCGAGAAGATGCTTTCGGTGCAAGAGGGGTAGAAAACACCAGAAAACAACGTATTGTGAGCTGATTAGTAGTAATTTCGTGTAATTTTGGGATAATCGGGACGATTCTGAGCGGGGGGGGGGATGATGTGGCTCCTTAACCCATTTTGCAGCCACAATGACGGATGGGTCACGGACCAGGATACAAGGTACCTTAGAGCCCAACGGGTACCCGTTTGGACCTGATTTGTACCCTACTGGGATGACAGCTACTTCGGGGATGGGGACACCACCCATCCCTTCTTTCAACCAAGAAACTTCCAGAATACAGACCAATAGCCATCATTCGTGACCCTGGTCCTTATTCTGGGAACCGCTTCCACAAGGCACAACAGTGCGGCAAAAGTAAAACCGCCATGAGATGCAATGTTCGCACTTGGTGAGCAAAGATTCCCATTAGAGAGTGGCTTGCTTCCCGAGCCGTTGCTTCGTTTGTCGCGGTCCAGTGAATGGTACGTAGCAGAAGTACCGTTGAGGGTATGGGGTGTTATATATCTCAGCATTCTTCCCGAGAAGAGAAGAAATCGGAAAGGCAAGATAAGCTGTAGGCACCATGGAAAGTGTACTGCTACAATTCGTGGACAAAAGTCTCCGCCCAATCCCCATTTTTACCCCTTCCATCTGCTACACCCTCAAATTCAATTGAACCACAACGCACCCAATTCTGGTGATAAAATTATCAAATAAATTATGTTTAATAGCTAAGTCAATAATGTGTATACTAATCATCGGCGCGCCTCACTGCAGCCATTCGGTTCTCCAGTGACTCCATCAAGACCCGAACTTGCTCCGGATCGATCTCCGACCACGCCTGCTCAATTAACTCATGTACGTAGCGATAATGGGGGATATTGTCCTTCAATTCGGAAAATTCAGGCTCAATTTCATGTATCTTCATCTTTAGAAGTCGCTAAACGTGCTTGATTAGGTTCATATCGGGGCTGTGAGGAGACCAGTCGATATAATGGATGCTGTGCTCCTCCATCCACGCCGGAACACCGCCAGTAAGGTGATTTTTCGCGTTATCTTGAATAAAAGGATCTCTAGCCTCATAGAACGGAAACAGGCCTTCCTTAAAAACCCATTGATATGACTCTGTAGAGACTCCTCCGCGCAGAGCATCCGGATCGAGTGGAAAGAAGACCAATTTGCCTAGTCCTCCTTCTCCGCTGCGTAGCCAGATCATAGACCACACCATTATTGAAATACGAGATTTGCCATGATCTATCTTGTTCACGAGATTATAACGGTACCGCTCTAAAGAGAATCAGATGACCCAATCGCCTAGATTATTGGATAAGTTTTAGACCGTACATTCGTCTGAGAACATGACTTGTAATAACTCCTCCAGGTGCTCTGGTGTGCGGTAAAAATTGGCAAAAGCGAGCCTCTTTTGAGCGTCCTTATCCGTGAGATTGATTCGCTTTACTGCGCGCCACTTCTGGAGGTCGTGTGCGTGACATATCCTCTTGATAGTCTTGGAAGAGCACAAAATGCGGGCTTTATTTCGGATCTTCTGCCACATTGCACTAGGGAGCTCTCTTGCCTTCTCAATCAGACGAGCGCGTTCGCGAGTATTCAAAACGGGTGGGCGACCGCTCCTTGGGGCAGATTTTGGTGTGGAGGTGGCCTCAAAGTTGGTGGTGATGTTAGAGATGGTTTTCAGGCGCTTCGTTTTGAACGCGGTTACAACATTCCTGCGCGTTCTCCGTCGATTCGCGCCGCCACAATTGCTAAGCGAGCTTCTGAAGTGAATTCGCCGTCAGCAACGCGATTGCCGCTCAATTTATCCCCAAAATATCGTGAATTCATCATTAATTGCGGTGTTGAGAGAGTGGTGAAGTCGAAGGGTGATTGACACGTTGTTTTGATCTGAAGGAGATTGTGGTGGGTCGGGCGGAGACTTTTGTCCACCCAGTTTAACAGACGAGGCCAGCGACGGGCTGGGCTGGCCCTCGTGGAACGTCGACTTTGATGCTTATGCTCCATCTTATCTCTGCTGCTGTCACTGCTGCTCTCATGCGGACACGTTGGCACTTCAGAACGGCGGGCGGACCTTCGTACCAAATAGCAACCAGCTCATCATGGGGGAGAATATTCCAAGTGCTCAATCCATCCCAACAGGCTACACCTTTGATAAAATGCGGCCTCGCAGGTTGCATCTAATGACGGCGCCGCAATCTAGACAATGTCAACCATCTCTCCGACCCTCCTTCGTATCAGCCGGCCGCAAAGCCTTTTCCCCCAACCCGAGTCAAACCCGGCCACTCTCACGACCAGTGGAGAGACTGGCGCCGCCACGACCAACCAGCGCCATCACCGCCATAACTTCTCAGAAGACACAGCCCACGAGCTTGGTACCGAGATTGAGACTACCCCCAACCTGTCACTCCCATCTTCACCCGCGTTCAGCGGGTCGACGGAAAACCAGCGACAGCCTCTTTCCACAGCACCCCAAGGGCTACTAACTGCAGGCCGCGTCAAGGGACTTGGTGATGAAGGCTACGAAGCAATCACCCGCATCACTCCTCTATTGACCACGTGTTCTAATGAGGATGTAAGTTTTTCGATTCCTGGACTTTTCTTCTCGTGACTCGCTCCCGCTGTTGATTTGGTCCAAGCGCTTGAGCTTCGTTAACAGGCTGAACAACTCCAGAGTCTGGTGGCTGCAAAGGACGAGGGCTACACATACCCCGAGATTAAAAAAAGTATGGGTTCGACGCCCCCCTGCCGACTCTTCGAAATGGTTACCGAGCTTTCGAGAATAATGGAAAAACACTCGTAAGGAAACCCGTGTGGTCGGCCAACGATGTAACTTTCTGGACTTATCGAGTCTGCTTCTCGTGACCCGCTGCCGCGGTTGGTGTGGTCTGGTCGCTTGAGCTTTGTTAACAGGCGGAATAGGAACGTCTACTTAGTAAAGCATATACGCACGTCACGACAGGCCTTAACGGCACTAGAAGCCGCAACGGCACCAAAAGGCGCCATTTTTCATAAAAGGAGGTAGCCGAGCACATGTTAAAGCATGGGGCCTTATACAAGTTCGGTGGTGTTAATTGCCGTAAAAAGTGGGGAACCCTGAATAAAAGAGGACGATGAAGCAAGTTAGCACTGTCTTCGGCCAATATACGTAGTAAGTTATAAACGGATAATACACCTGAGTGTGTATGGTATTGAGATCTATGTCTGAGAAAGACCTACGAATGAGGAGCACAGCGTCGGTTCTGGCTAGCTTAGGGTCACGCCATCGGAATTCCCATTTGTGTGGAGTAGTCAAGGCCCTTCGCCAAGCAAGAGGCCACGCAATTGACTCGTGCCGGTCAGTCTTGTACTGAGATCCGTAACGCGATATGGTCCGGCTTTGCATTGAACAGTGTTCCTACCTCATCACCACGAATACGTTGCCCTTGTGCCTCGCCATCTTGACAGCCTCTGCCCGCGGTGTGATGTAGGTAAGAACATCCAAGTCAGTATCAGCAAACAGCGCCATCACCAGTGTTGCTGTCGATCATGGTTATTACCCAATAGATCATGCATAAGGACTCGTGGGCCTATCTATCTGTCGGGCGTGGAAAGAGGGCCGGTAGTCGCCGTTGAGCCAAACCCTGATCATGTCACGGGCACCAGTGCATCTAGCCGCTAAGTCTCCAGTTGCGAAAGGTAAAATTGATTTAAGAAATGCCTCCGTTCCCTACATAGTACGCGCTGTCGAGCCCTTCCATGTTAGTAGCACGAACATACTGCATCAACACCACTGGACGACTACCCCCTCAGATATCATCAACTGACTCGATGGCTCGGTCATGGTCTGAACGCACGATGTTCACTTCGTATAAAAACCCAGCTCGAACGATTTGGCAGGTTGGGAAGTGCTCAGTGTTCGTCTGAACGATGATGCTTCTGATGCCGCTGATGCCGCTGATGCGGCCCTCGCGACCATCCTTGGATTCAACACTGAGCGTGATTTCTGTGTTTCGTAAGTTATTGTTACCAGATGCCACAATGGGATACGTATACCTTGTTTGTCTTCCAGGGTCTTCGCCACATCAAGAAGCTCTGACTCATCCCGCGTTTCCTGGCCATCTACCGCTGCGATGAAGAACAGGCGGCACTATTTGTCAAGCGGTGAGCCGGGGTAGAAGTGGGTGGCCAATGACTTGCTGGATTCATGTTGACTGTCGCGTCAGACACTCAGCACCGGGCGGCGAATGAACGCCCCGCAGAACTCGACGGCGGATTCGAAGGTAAAGTCCCCGCTTGGAAGTGTCGTAATATTCACCGTGTGTTCTGTGCCGTCGCGGACGATCTTGGCTTCAACCACGTCTGTAAATGGCACGGCCAGATCTGAGCCTCGAGCAACGGCGCGCCCATCCAGCTGACACAGCATGTCACCTTTGCGTAACCCACGATCCTGTCCAGCGATGACATTCAAAACGATGTAGGCGCTCGGCTGTTGCGGGTAAGAGCGCTTAGAAATGGCCTCGATCATCGATTCGCTTAAACCCCTCTCGCGCGCCTCTTCGATTGTGATAGCCTCGCACTTTGCAGGAAATACCTGAGCCTCCGGGACCTGGCCTTGCAGTATCTTCGAGAGGTGCGGACAGATCCAGTAGATTGCCATGTTGACATGTGTTGCGCCATCTTTGCCGGGATACTTCATCCTAATTGCCAGGAGTTTTCCTTCGCGTGATAAAATCACCCCGTGCCTGGACTCACTACTAAATGAGCAACGTAATCTAACGTAGTTAAAGTTAATTAGCCGTTCTTCGGCCGGATCGGGACTTTTAAGAGGCAAAACATCCTTGATAACAGTAGGCTCATCTATGAGCTTCCCTTCGTTAAAGCTGTAAAAGCAAACTGACTGGCCCGGCAGTGGCGGCGTCTGGCTAATCCGGACACCTTGAACGTCTAAGTCGATAAGCGCTGGCTTAGCAGGATCGTATTACAAGAGGACTAAGCAGAATTATACGAGGCGATGATTCAGGCCCACCCTCACTCTACGATCTCCGTCAAAGATCATGAGTACATCGCGAAACTAATGTGAAACGTATGAGGCGCACAACAGTGCGAGGCCTTTTCCTGCGTCCAGAATCACGGCCTTTCCGCACTCCAAGCTGTTATCAGCTATAAAGCAACGAACGTCGGCATAGCTGCATGCCGCATTGGACTTGACGTTGTTATCGCACCGCCCTGCCGCGTCACGCCGTCCTGCCGTCTCCGGGAGCTTTGCAAGTGTCTAATAATTTCCACCCCGGACCGTGATGATCTTAAGTCCCGGATGTGATCTAATGACCACCTAAATGGTTTTAATTTCTTTCGAATGCAGGTCTCGGATCGTCGCTAGAGTGAACTCGTGGTCCTTTAGCAGGCCTTGCCACATGTCAACCAAGTCATTTAAGGTAGATACTCGCTTTTCGTCGATTTATTCAACAATGCCCGGGTGCGTTCCTGGGAACGGGTGGCTCATGTAAACACCCTTGCAGGGGATATTGTATCGCCACGCCAGATTGTCTGACATCGCATGGAAGGTCGCCCGGCCTATGGTTACGACTCGATTCGGAGTCAGCCGGAAGAGGTCTTGGACCTAGATCGTAACACGGACTTCGCGTTCATTCCTAAGAAGGACCAATTCGACATCCTTATCGATCTTGCCGTCGAAGTATTGATCGACGTCAAGAGACGTGACGATTTCCGCATCGACATGGGTCAAGTAGTCCCCCACTTCCAGCTTGCCATCAGAGACACCCATGGGCAGGACCTTGTCGACCCGGACTAAGTCAGTCCCTTTCTGTATGGTATGACCAAAACGGCATTGGACGTCTCCCCGACGAAATTGCTTGCCTTCTTGGAGGCAGCGAAAGGCGCGGAGAGGAGCTTCCAGACTTATAGAACCAGTTGCCCAGGCGTAAGGTCCCACAGCCACAAGCATTCCGACGGCGTTTCCCATTTCGTCAACCACAGGAGAACCGGGGCTACCACCACGCGTGGACGGCGGGATATCCGTGTAGGTAACGTTCCAGTGCGGAACGTTAAAACCGTAAAAGGAGTGATGATGCTTAGGTGGACCCAGCTCGTAGCTTATAATGCCCTGGAAGATGTTAGGTTTCTTATCAGCGTAATAGCCGACAACGCGAATCTCGAGATTCGCTTTGGCATTATCGGGACAAAGGCGCAGTGAGGTCACGCCCACCTTTGTCTGTTCGAAGGACCATATAGTAAAGTTGGCGGAGGGGTCACCCAGTTTCAGATTCAACTTCTGGCGAGTGTTGCCGTGAAAGTTTGCAAATGAGCAGCCCGCAACAGACCCTACTCCATGATAAGGCGTAAGTATGTCGCTAGTCTACGTTAGTTATAACCCGACAGTGCGGAGAGACCACCTACCCTTTTTCCGAGTCGACGACTGACCTTCTTAAGTCGACGACGAAGCCTGTAACACAGCTGTTGCCTGCTTTTATCCCGTCGAAGCCTCGGGTTTGCAGGCCCTCGACCTTCACAGTTGGCTCGACGGGCATTCTCAATCGGATCCATGTTGTGTCATTCGCCTTGATCCTTCTGAAAGGAATGGCGTTTTGTCGAGTGGGCGGAGGAGGGGGGATACGTTTAACACAGCCGTCTCGTACCTCGAACCCCAGGATCATGGAGAGGCGCCGTGAACTCAAAACAACGTACTGGCACTGGCAGGACAGGTTAATCAAGATAGCCTTAGACGCCGCGGTTGAGACCTGTCGGATGCAAGATGGGTCAGCCGATATAGAATCAGGTTCATAAGACAGCCTTGATTGAAACCACTGTTGCGATCGACAGCACAAGGCCATTAGTACAAGTTGCCTCGTGAGGGTCTGACAGTATAGGATCTCATTGGAGCCTGTGGCTGGTCTCTCCAATAGTCATTCTAGATTTGCAGCCACACAGGACGCGTTACGCCTAGAAGCGGCGAGCTTCACATCTGGATGCAAATTACCATGCATCCTTATGGCTGGATGTCGGTAACGCTCCGTACGGGCCGCGATGCGGGTCAGGGTGGGAAACGAACAAGTGGCGGGCCAACGTCGAAGACGAGGAAAAGGAGAGCAAGCATACTTTCCATGCCTCGGGTGGTTCGCTCTGAGTTCGGGTGGAAGACATCGCTCCATAAAGCAAGTGGCGCAAACGTAAAGAGATAGAATAGATGAGTGGGAGCCAAACAAATGTCGGGTACTCACTCGTCTAGGTCTAATGTCGACTTCAGATCCCCCCCAATCCGTTAGTTTAAAGGTGGTCATCACAGCCAGACGAGTAGAGGTAATGTAAAAAAATATCTGCAAACGAAATAGAAATCGCACCCCACCCCGGACTTGAACGGGAATCTTCAGCTAGCAACAACGGTGAAATTGTAAGAGGCTGACGAGTTAACCATTTTTCTAGTAAGGCTTGATAGAGAAGAAGTCACGTATTGTGGTATTAAAGGGCAGCAGAGACCAGCCCCACACTGCACTGCACGTGTACATGTAGGCTTAAACTGGATGACACGTACCATCAAGCAAAAAGTACTTAGCAAGGGGCCTCTATTTTGACTTTTTTGTATACATACAGTATCTGGGCACCTGGTCGCTTCGACACAGGGGGTGGCAGTATGACCAGCAAGAAACCCGAGCGCCTGGAGGGTGCGTTCACAGCCAAGTACTGCCCATGCGTGTGCTGGACACTAGGCACCGAAGAGGCGGCCGTCGCCCCGCACTTCTGACCAGGTATCTAGCAGATCAGGCCAGAGGGAGCCCATGCCCGCGCAATGGTATTACCGCCCAGTACGCGCAAAAATGTGGCTGGCTCGCTGCCGTAGGAGGTGCGTTTCGGCGACCTCGCCTCGTTGCCGTTCTATGTCGGCAAGCGAGGAGGAGACAAGTACATCGGTATAAACAACAGGGAGTTTGCCTTGTCGAGTCGTCTTGCGAACCTGTTGCCAAGCATTAAAAGCAAGATCAGCTGGCCTCTGGAAATGTGTCGTAGCTGCCAGCCCGAATAAGATAGCGACGCGGTCGAGCCAATTGGTTATACCCCTGGTTTTAAGTTCCTCGTACATCGTCCGCGCCATTCGCAACCTGATCGCATTGTGGGTGCCTTCTGGTTGGCCGTGCAGGCTGGCAAGTAGGTGGACATTGGCCAAGGCAAGCCTAACACGTTAGACTGTTCGGGAATTCGGCATGGTAGCGAGCTGCAGCCACCCTTCTAGCTTTGCTTCTGCCCTGTTACACTGCCTAAGTTCACACAAGACCGCGCTGGTATGCTTAAGCACCCTACTGCTTACCGAAAGCCTCGTTAGTATTGCAAGGGCCTCGGTAAACCGCCCTTCAAAACGAAGCATAGCGGCTTGCGTCCGTTTTAGTTTATTAATTTAGAGCACTTTGAAGCAAAACGGATATTCAAGCATAGTTATGTGTTTTAAAAAGGCCAATTCCTCGTAAGCGCCGGCTATATTCTTGGCCCGGATAAGCTCCCGCGCACGCAGCACAACTCCGTCGACTACATATGCGTATAATTGTCTATCGTCGTAAGGAAACACGATGGGCGGCACTTGGCCGTCCTAGGCAGGGCCTGCTTAAGTCGACTAAGAAGTAATAAGCCGCGTACTTGTATCCTCGGTTCGAGGAATCCAGCTCTTACACTGTAGCCGATGGTAGAGGGTCGGGGGCTCGCGTTATGCCAGCAGGGAGTGGCGCATAGAGGAAAGCTTCAGGGATCTCTTGGAAATGGAGTTTCGTTACGTCGATCGGGGCATATCGATCATACTGGCGGGAGGAGAAGTAGCACGAGCCTTGGCGCAGTATCGCTCCAATGTGGTCAAAGACAAGCTCGCCAGTGTCCGAATCTTTCCATGCCTGCTCTGATGCTACCACCTCCATTGCGTTGTAAGTATGTGTGGCCGAGGGCAGGGATAGATTCGTCTGGTGTGAGGTAGTAGCTCTTGGGCCTTGAGTCGAGTCGTCCTTCAAAGGGTGGCAAAATGGTTAGGTGATCAGAGGAAGGTCGGCGAGGCTGCAAGGACTAAATCAGGATGTATTGAGAGTAATGGAGTACAGCATGGGAGAAAGTAAATGCCACCATCTAAGGCGCCGCCAAAATGGTGCGAAACCAAATGATGAAGTATCCCCAGGGGCCCAGTCGAGGTCGAGATAGCCAGTTTCCCCACTCCAAGCCAACCCTGTAGATCCCTCCCAGTGCACGTGCTTTACCTAAGGTAGGGCATATTAGTGACATTTGGGTGATGGAAAATGACGGTGGACTCACTTCAGGTTGGGATGTAGCTGTCTGACCATTTGCATATAGTCTGACCACAGTCACTCATCTTGTTTCTATATGAAGACCCATCATTCCGGTAGAGGGTCCGCAACTCGCACGTGTTAACAAGAACACAATCTGCCTCTACGTGTTGAGCCATTTCTACCTCATGTCAGCTTGATCATCACATCACTTCGGACAAAGTTCATACCTACCGCAATTATACAATCGGGACAAGATATAGTATCGGTAAGGTGCAAATGTATGGAGTGATATGCGCGAAGCTTTTAAAGTAGGGCTTCGGGGAGAAATGTCACTATTATTTGTACTGCATCATCTTGCCCAGCATGCGGTTTCCACTTCCACTGCTGCCTACAATCAAGTAAAGCCAACAGGAATACCTCCCTTTTCAGAACACCATCAGCCAACTGCATTGGCGGGAGCGTCCGGATGGACATGCAGTCTTATGAATGAATATATGCAGGGTCTGGGCTGCAAGCCCTGGAAGGTGGGACGCGTCACAGAGCTTCTTGCCTATGCTTTCTATTGCACAGCATGAAGGCCAAAAGGTTGCAAACCTGCTGCATTGGTGTTGTGGTTGTTCTCGAGGTGGTGCGCAGCTGCAGTGGTTGTGGGCAATATGCCACCCTAAGTACACCTTCCTAGGTAGAAGGGAGGCCTTTCAGCTCAGCACTGGCATATACTTCCTGGAGGCCCCATCAAATACCATGGTCACGTAAAGGGTCAAGCAGCTGATCGGGAACGGCGCCGAATAAGTAGATCCATAATTATTCTCCTTAAACAGTCACGTAGATTCGTGAGGAACTGGCGAGCCTCTAGGCGACCCAATTGACTTGTTGACACATCACTCGGGGCCATCAATCCCTATCTCCGGTCTTCAAATACATATTTCATATCGGTTTCTTTGATTCACCGCCTCTTCGTGTGTCGCCATCATAATATTGATGTAAGCTATGTTCATTTGATTGGGCGCCCAGTCCGTAAAGACAAAGACAAAGAAACAGAGCTCTTCAAGCAATGGCTACAGGAAAGAAATCCGAACACTGACCTTGTCATCTACTCAGATGGATCACAATTGGACGACCAAGGCACAATCCGCACTGGATGGGGCTATACCATCAGGAAAGGCGGCACTACACAAGAAGTATACCGGGGAAAGGGCAGACTTCTACAAGCAGAAGTAGTGGATGCTGAAGTCCATGGTGCTCTCCAAGGTCTTGCAATAGCCAGGGCAATTGGACACAGAAAATAGCTATATGTCTGCCTGGACAACACATCAGTGCTGGATGGGCTCAATAGGACTCCACCCGAGACATCACAGAAAATTTTTCTGCGATTCCAAGAACTCGCCACAGCACACACTCCTGGAGTGACCGTTAAGTGGATTCCTGGACACAGAGATATTAATAGCAATGAAGCTACCAACACACTAATAAAAGAGGGTACCATGCTAGAAACAGACACAATAAACCTTCCTATAATCTCTTGGGTCAAGAGAGATTTTAAAAGAAAGGGCAAGAAAGAGTTCAACTAATGGTAGAAAGACCGATCAGAACCTAGATATCAAGAAGTATACTCATATACAGTAACTGAAAGAGGCCTTATATCCTTTAAGAGGAGCACTCTACACAGACTTCTAGCGGCCAGATCTGGACATGGCGACTTTGCCAGATACCACGAACGCTTTGGGCATACAGACTCGAACAACCACTACAGCTGTGGTGAAAAGAAAACACCACAATATATTTTCTTTTGTAAGAGACTAAGAAAAAATCGGTTATTGCCTAGATACTCGCCTAGGACAGCCTGTTTACAATACTTAAAGGAGAGGAGCACAGAATGGGCAAAATTCGTGGAGAAGAGCAAGTTCTTTTCAACAATCTGTTTCTGATAGATAGCTGTCCTTGAAGGACCAGATGGATGACCCCAAGGTCATACCGCCGCAACAACGGGGATGGGCCCGTGAGCGGGACTGACTGTACTTATTTTCTTGAGACCTCCACAACCCTGTGATGCAGAGGCTCTGGGAGGCGTGGTCTGCACTACTGAGGAGCTACCCCCCACGTTAAATACAAAACAAACAAAACAAACAAACATTTGATTGGGCGTCCAGCGTCGTGACAAATATGCATGCTTTCAGGTGCATGTTTTGCCCGCTTTTAATTCCAACCATGCGGTGCAGCCTCCGACCAGTGATGATTAGAAGCGTAATCAGGCCACAGCGCCAAAAGGACGTCTACTATATTCATGACTCACCCTCGGTTATGTTCCAGTCGGGTGAATTAGCACGCACTGCAATGGTACGTTGTCAATTGTTGGTCAAGTGTACGTTGTTATCTGTGAGTCACTTACAGTGTCTATAAGCCGCGGTTGCAACCTTGCCAAGTTATAGTCCGATCAAGCAACAGTCAATATGGCGTTCAGCCGAAGTACAGAGAACCCCCTTTGGTCATATAGCGTACCAAGTTCGATACGATACACTGAGTTATGCAGTATTTTGAAAGGACTCATGCAGGCACGACGCGGTGTGTGCGCCAATCAAATAAGTCCGTGTCGCCTTCGCTCATATACGGCAGTCCGCTATACGTAAACATAGTCCCGAAACAAAACGGCCACGCCACCAACAGAAACGCCAGCCTTGTTGAGAGTTAGGTGGCGATTGAAGGAAGGTACGGAGGTCAGGCACACGGGAGTGGTTGGGAGGGACGAGCCCTAGTAATTGGCTCGGAGCCCGGATTGATATTCCAGGATCCATGACGATCGCCGAGTGTCTTATGCCGCCCACAGCGAGGGCTAACCTTATCAACATCCACCGCCATCGCCAGTTTAGATACCATCGATGACGGTCCGTCATGTTGGTTCACGAGGTGTACATTGCGCATCCTGCCGCTCCTTGCGATTGACTTTTAGACATTGTAGACTGCCGTTCTTGCTTCACGCTTAGAATATATGTGCAAACCCGGTCAGCTTTTGTTTCCTTGTCGCATCAGTGATAGTGGGGAGAAGAGGGGTGGATGAAGGGAGGGATGGTTAGCCCCCTAATGCGGGGCAAAGGTCGAAACCCCGCAACGATCGCATACCCACCCCCCATGTCAAGCGAATCCCTCGGCGACGTTTTGGATCAGCTTACCTTTTCGATACGATTCCTACGGGTGGCCTTGCTGTCGCTGTCGCTGCTTGATCTCTCGCGTAGTAAATTAGGCTCCTTCCCAGGTCGTAGCGTTCGTTTTGACTGGTCTTGCTTCCGTGATTGAGATCTGGTGGTCATGGTGCGCCGTGAGACATGTTCATCCTGTTGCGGAGGCGACTTCCTGCTCCTTCGCGTCGGCTGCTTCGGCGGCATCGCCAGCACCGGTGCTGTTTCTACTTCCCCAGACTCCGGACCAAGGCCGTGTTGCAGAGTCTGTGAGTCCAGCACGCTTTGCTTGGGTTGGTCCTGACCGAGCCAATGACGGCCCTCAATGATTGTGCTCATGGGCTGGTGGTGTCTGTACTCGATTTAGTAGTACGCCCGGTGCTTGCAGCGTAACCGAAGCTCGCGGAGTTCATCTCCAGACATGCTTGTTTCTAGTAGCTTGTTCCTGAGAGACACAGCAAGGGCCTGCCAGCCTTCATCCGCAGATGGGCACCAAAGACTGGGTAGTTCCGACATCCTGTCAACGGCGGGGCGCTTGTCAATCCAACGACTGAGATGCATGGTGGTGGCCTCCAAGCACCAGTAGTGCTCGTGATCAATGGTGTCTCGCGCCTGGTCTAGCTCGTCATTAAAGTAGTACCAGATCGACTGGCAGTGCGCTTTGAAAGCCGGCGGAAAAGCATTAGGATTTATGTCGCATTCGGGAGTTCCCACCTGCCGACTTAATAAAGCAAGGTCTGCGTGGAGAGCATCAAAGCCGCCGACATCTGTCAATATACGCTCCCTGGGTGGTTCTGGGAATACGAATCGCGACTTCGCCGGCGACTCGCTGTATTGTGATGAAGTCATTTCCGTCGTCGCTATATCATTCTTGATTGACCGAGTCGGGCTGCGAAGGTGATGCAGGGGACGAATAGAGCGCGGGAGTTGATGTTCGACGTTGGCAGACGATGATTTTATAGTGGGAAAATGTGAGGTAACAGATTCTGAGGAGAGTCGGCGCGACCTCGGATAATTGTCGATTGGAAGGCGGCGCATCCTTAGTCATCAATGCGACAGGGTGTGGTCCCTAAGGGCCTTTGTGGCCATAGGTGTGGATCCTGGCACCTGAGACAGCTGCCCGGAGACCAGGCAGCCTACCACTGAATTACTGTACCTGTCTCCAGTGAAACCAGTTTTAGTTAATTAACGAGTTATTTTAAACCTACATGTACTAACGTACCTTAAATGTAAAGCTCGCAGCAAATAAAGCGCGCTAATCTTAAACTAATCAGACGGCTAGCGCTTACTAAATTTAAACTAATTACATAGTTAAAGATATTTTAACAAAGCTTATTAAACTAACAAGCTTTATTAACCCAACAAAGCTTATTCCATTGAATAAAGCTTGTCTAGCTAATAAGCCTTGTTTACATTAGAAGGCTTAAATTCTTAAACGAGCCTTATCAAGTTTAACGAGGCCTGTTAAGAGACCCCTTACCCCGCTGCGGTACCAAGCATGCGCCAGCATTGTTGGATTAAAGGTGAGCCCAGAGGGCACCTTGATAGGTAGACACCGGAGCCTACTTGTTCCGTCCCGATCCAGCCCCCTCTGGCACAAAACTGCCACGGTCGCACGAGGACACTCTAGAGAGACAGAATACACACACACACTTCAACCTCACGATTGGCTCAAATCTGACAAGCATAAGCTTCCCGGCGAGGGAGGTCGTATCCAGATGTATTGAGACGTGTAGGTGTAGGTGGACTGCATACTTGGGGGCTAATAATTGGCCGAGCCCTGAGGCTGAACAAGTTTGTTTTGGAAAGCGGTGCGTCCGTTTTCAACTTCTTGGCTTCTTGACTGAACCTAACTGCTGCGTGTACCTACCATGATAGGAAAACAAAGTTTCCGAATACTGTCTCTTGAGGTAGTCCATTCGGATACTATCGTTATTGGGACCGCAAAAGGCGCAAAGGGAACCTGGATTTGGCCGAAGTTCACCATAGTCGATGCATCATTGAGGGAAGAGCGCGTTTCTGTGGTATACGTACGTGGCTGGATGGTCTGGAAGGTTGGTGGCTTTTCCTTCGCGAGGGTGTTGGTTCTGGGATAGACGGATATCATAGCCTCATTATATTCGGGCGATGATCGGGGGATAGAAACCCATGGGAACTAGACCAGACTGGTCCCAGCAAGTTTAGTCGCTTAAAGTCATCGGTTAGACTGTGGTTAATGCGCCAATACTAGGGTGCAGCTTGACGAAACCATATATACATCTTAACGAAGTAGTACAAAATTCAGCATATTGTTGTCCTTCCCCTTCATAAGCTCTCCAGCCATGATCCCGTTTACATACGCATCGCCGACCATCATATTCATCATGAACCTGGCGTCCTCAGGCGCGGGGCCAACTGGCCTTATCACAAATGGCACCCGGCCACCACGGAAGACCCAGATGTCGTCACCAGCCTGAGCTGTGCCCGGGCCCAAGCCAAGGTACCCAGTGTCGGTGATAAGCAGCGTCTTATTCCTGAGTATCTGGAGCCTCCACTGCGCGCCAGGGATCGGGTCGATGATACCTTGAAAGGTCCCGTTCCAGACCGCCTCGAAGGAGGTCCAGATCTTCTCATGATCCAGCTTCTTCCCCTCCTCTGCGCGCTCGAGGAAGCTTAGGACGCCGCGCTTCCACGCCGCGATGTGCATGTTCATAGTCAGCAGCCGGTCCTTCAGGTCCTCCCGCGAGCTGGTTGCGTCGGGCCTTTCTATCGTCATGGGTGTGTCGCGAAAGATAACCCGGCCAACCTTGACGCCCTTGAGCCCGAGGTACTTCATCCCGGGATCTGTGCTACACAACCAATTCATTCCTTCCTGGGCGTCGGCGTCGAACTTCAAGTACACAAAGTAGTGCTCCCACCAGTTTAGGTTGTCGCTCAGCTGGCTTGGGTCCTGCCGCGTCCAGTCCAGCGCCCAGCTGGGCAGGCCTTCGATATTCGGTGGCCCGCCGCTCCGGCCGACGAATGGCCGCATGCCTGCCATTTGCAGGAGGTCCACGCTGATCATCGAGAACAGCGTCACGGGGTCGAGGGAGTAGTCTGCGAAACGGACCCTGTCCGGTTTCCAGTTTCGCATGAGGCCTAGGAGCGAGTAGACCTTGTCCCGAGGGTTGGTGGCCGCGCGCTCTCGGAAACGGAAGAAGAGGTCGATCGGACTCGAGGAGTCCTTCGAGATAATGGTCAAGGCCTTTATCGGGACTGTGAATTGGCCCGTGCTAACGTCTGGGCTGAAGAAGTCCCAGAGATTGATCGGTGACTGCATCTTGTTCATGCCGGGTGATTGGGTCATGAGGTCTGCCGCTTTCGCTAGGGCTTTCCAGGGGACAGAAACAGGACCCCAGAGAAGTTCGCTGGAGCTCGGGAGAACGATCTCCTGGATGGTCCAGACCCGCGTCCACCACGGAGCGGCCATGAAGGAATGAATCGCTTTCGATACTGCGATCCGTTGATCATGTTCGGCGATAGTAGAGGGAACCTCTCCTTTAAGATCAGCGTTCAAGAACGTGACGAAGTCAACCAATCCTTGAGCCGATGCCACGGAGATTGTCCCGGGGCCATTCCGGAAGTCTCCAAGCCAGCATGAGCACAAGGAACATTGAGAGTAGATTCGGTGCATCATGTCGACCTGTCCTTCCTTCTCCTTGTTGTCCTTCTGGTTGATGCATATTGCATCAATCCAGATCATCCTCTTGCGATCCACATAGCGCAGTCGTTGCAGGGCTGCATAGAGGTTATCGCTCACCTCTACTCGATAGCCTTCTGCAAGGACTGTCCGATGCTCCGTGACCAGGCCCCAGACGTAAGATAGTGTCTCATACTGGGGGTGATCATCCAGATTGACTATTCTGTATCGACATCGGATTTCTTCATCACCCGTGCCATCCTCCAGCTCTAGGATCCTGATTTCGGGCTTTGACTGATCGAGAGCGGGGCAGAATTCGTCTGCGGTGGTCACGGGAGTTTGGTCAGCAACAGGAGCGACCATAGTGTATGCGTCAGCGCTCAACCCTGAAGAGGAAAGGGACAAATGTGACAGTTTCTAGCTTGGGGGGTTATGTCGTTTAGAGATTGATCATGTCAATTGGGGTCAACATGAAGGTCGGGATATCAAAACTAAATGCAACGTTTAAAACATGGAGTCTTGCCTTACCCGGCGGCCTTATTTGCACCTTACTCTAGTTAGCCAGCCACCTGCTTGCCATCTGACAGCGGGCCGACCACCAAGTTCACCACCAACCAGGTCCAGCCAGCCAGCCAGCCAGCCAGCTGCTAGGGGCATGACTATCTGAAATTGTATGGCGTTTACATACGAGACCCGATCGTGATGGCTATCTAGTTCGGCTCCGATTGGACGCGACCGACGGTCATCTAACTGAACGCGACCAATAGCCATCAGATTAACGTATCCAGCTGTGATGGACGTGACATTTCCATACGAAACCTTATCGTGATGGCCATTTAGGCTGGGAAGCCTTTCCCTTTGAGTGCGACCGATGGTTATCCAATTAAACGTGACCGATGGCCATTCTCAGCTGTAACGGACATGATGATCTTGTACTGAGTGGCATTTCTATACAAACCAGATCGTGGTGGCCGCCTAGCCTGGCAGAGTTTGTGTTCGGGCTATCGTATGCCTCCTCTTCTATCTGGTGGGTTCGTAGCTGGGCGTTCCTACTTCCCAATCTCACTCTGACAGTCAGTCTGTCAATACAGTCTAAGTTATAACCTGCGAAGAAACCGAAATGGGTGAATACCTGCGGAAGCTTGCATAGAAGCTAAGAAAATCTTTTTAATTTATTTTCTGGTCGAGAACCTAGTTTTTATTTCCGGTTGATATGTGTGGTTTAAATAAAATGTTTGTTTGTTTGTTTTGTATTTAACGTGGGGGGTAGCTCCTCAGTAGTGCAGACCACGCCTCCCAGAGCCTCTGCATCGCAGGGTTGGTGGCGTGAAGGTCTTCATAAGAAACAGAGGGAGAAGCTCACGCGTAACGGTGAGAAAGGTTCGAAGGAAGAAAAGTGCAAGCGGAAACTGCATTTGACAGAAATTCAGGAGAGTCGACGCATTATTGAGCTCGCTGATGGCAGGGATAGCCAAGCATCTCTTTAGATGCTTCATAAATTGAGAAAAGAGGGTATCCTGATATCGCGCCCGCTCCCACCACCGCCGGGCCTTCATCCAAGGCCTCCCAATCAACGACCTCCGCAACCCAACCAAGAAACTGGGAAAGGGTTTAAATAACCATCTTGTCCAAAATCTTGTGAATGCCAGCGCTCTTCCCTCTCCCATTGTCAATGTCGTCTGCCATCTTTCTCGCCCTTTTAACGAGGACATCGACGACCTTCTTGGTATAGTCAAAGCTGCCAGTGCCCTCCATGTACTTGATAGCGTAACGCTTAACCTCGTTATCTGTTGACTTCTGCTTAAGAATGTTCAGGAGTTACAGATTGGCTGGGTTGGAGCGGATGCTATAAATGATAAGGAACGAGAATTTGCCTTCTGTCAGATCTTTGCAAAGTCCCTTGTTCTAGCCATACTCGGGGCTTGACAGATTTCTGTAGTCGTCCTGAATCTAAAAGATGATGCCGAGGAGGTTGAGGAGGGGAACACAGTCAATCGGGGAGTTGGACTCGGCTTGCATGAGTTTGATGGCCAGACGGAAGAGACCTCCGCATTTGTTTCTGACCATCTCGAGATACTTCAATCATAATACTCGAGTATTGGGTCAAGGTCATGTTATTGTTGATGGGTTGGATTGAGAGGTCTAGCTGGACCTGAAGGTCTTGCTAAGTAACCTCACAATCCGGTATCCAATCTCTTATCTAATCATACATGTGGGTCCTAGTATAGATGGTTTGCAGGCTGGAATTGCATGGATCTAACAAACTTGCTTATAATATTAACTTGCTTCTTAGCTACGTTATAAGTATAATATATAAGAACGTTATAATTAATGATTATAATTAAGTAAAATATAAAAGAATAAAACTAGTTGTCACGGTGCAGATACAAGCACAGGACAAAGATGCCCATCAATCACCCGTATTGTACAAAATTACTCTGGTAAGGAAAAGGAAAAAGGATCTAACATCCTACCAAAATCTGGTGGGGAAATAAATGCCCAATTCCGTCCCACTTCTATCTCTCCAGCTGTGCAGCGGGGCAACGCGTCTACCCCACCAAGTCACGTAGTGGGAGCGCACAAACTATGATGGATGGCAAATCCATCACACTAGTCTTATATAATATCGGGCAAAATAAGGAATAAGTTAATGTTTTAAGCAATATAAAAGTTTAACTCGTATTTTATTAAGTATAATTATATATAAAGATAGCTTAAAGATACTTTATAAATAATGTAAATACTATTATGATAATTATTTATATAGTTTTATTTTAAAAAGTATCAAAATATATATTATAATAACACCTTAATAAAAATTCGGGTTTGAATTTAAACCAAATGCAACTTAAAATCCTTAATAATAATAACGGCGCACTATTTAACCAGTTGCCGGTAAAGCGGGAAGATGCTAGCGCTATCTGGTTTTAATATCTATTATAGCCTGCTCGCTATCTGGTTTAAGTCCTCCAAGCTAAATTCCTGGTCGAGAAACTCTTACAGCTTGCGTCGATTTTAGAGCAGGATATAAAGGTAGCTAGGTAAACATTAAGTAAGAGGTTTCTTATTGTCCAAGTTCTAGTTCAGCTGGTGCTCTAATATAAGGGGCGGCCCGGCAGCGGGCGGTAGGCACATTATTGCTGCAGAATGGAGTATCTAGACCCTGAGGGTCGTAGGTAAGGCCTGGTCAGGTTCAGGCTTAAAATTCTTTGCTTATATACTATGGGGTAATAACCGTCTATAAATACACACTGGCTGCATTAATACGTCTTTGCTTGTCTGCCTTACCCTGTCTGCCTTGCCCTCTCTTCCTTGCCTATACCCCTCACTAATCTCACAGCAACATACTATGCCTTTATTGATCGGCACCAAGCTTTTATACATTAAACAACTCTTCGCCGCAAAGACTTAAAGGCTATGCTAGAATAGTAGGTTATATACTACCCCTGCTTAGCCGCTTATATAAATATATTAACACGCAGTTTTTAGAGCCGAACGTATACATACTTACTTATACTTACTTACTTTTAACCTTTTTCACTTTCTCGTTTTAGCCTTTTTATCTTTAATATTAATAAATCTTATTTTATCGCTTATTATATTTTTATATTATTCAACTTACTGACCAAAACAGCTTCAAATACCGCCCGCTTTATATGTTATCCTATATAAATTGTTACTATAATCAACGTTTCTAACTAATTAAATATTTTACTTAAGTGCCTTTAGCAGCTTGTAATAAATGCTATCGCTAACGTAGGTCACAAGCGAGCAGGACACACAAGCAAGTGGGACACTTTCATAAACCTCTCAAACTATTAACTTCCAACCAGTATTCCTCTTCACGATAATGGCACCACGTTATAATGAATCAGACATACAGTTAGCTGTCCAATCTGAAAAATAAGACTCTCATATTTCTGTTCAAAAGCCTGCTAAAAATTTCCACCTATCAATCTCTATACTGGCTCAAAAAATCACCGGCTGACCATCATAATGCAATAGTATGACCAATTCTTTGAAATTTATAGTTTCTGAAGAGAATATTATTTGTACCTTTATACTTAACCTGGATATGCGAGTATTTCTGTCCTAATATACTTATAATGAAGATATGGCAAATCAATTACTAGCAACACGTGGGACTGGACGCGTCAGGAAGAACAAAACGGCAAACTACATCAAACGCACACCAAGCCTCTAGACGCGTTTTCATTGGAGGATAGACTACCAGAGGGTTTTGAACAAAGATCCAGACGCGTATCACGCTTGGTTTTGCTAAGTTGAGGCAGCAGTGGCAAAACATGGTATCTAAGATACGAACACCGTCACCAGACCCCAATCTGCCACCCACTACTTGGACTTCAAAGACGCCTACCACCATTAATAAAGCGGTAAACCAATCAGTTTATATCTGAAATCGAATCAGAAACCACTAGGGAAGCTCACCTATATCAATAATTAATGCATTTAGCACGTTTTTAAAGGCTACATATGGTCTTATACATAAGGTCGCTTTGATTAATTCCCGGGTCCGCCAGCTAGAAAAAACCAATTACTTATTAAATAAACGCCAGAAAACAAAAAAACAAAAATCTAATAAAAGGAAAAATGCTTTCTATTAAAGATATAATATTTAGGCCACAAAAAATAATAGTGAACTGGCAAGACAGGAAATAGGTGAAGGTAGTTGTTGTCCAAGGAGAGCGGCAGCGCGTGAGCAACTGTGTGACATTTGCGGCAACACTGGTCACAATACGCGAACTTGTATAATAGAGATAAAAACCTCTGAGGAAGAGGAATCCTGTTGATTGAATTGAATTGAATACATTCTGATTAAGTTATTTCACATAGCAGTTGGGAGGTTGGTAAACGTGTCCTGCTCGCTTATGTGTCCCACTGACTTGTGGCCTACGTTATCTTTTTAGCTTCTGCCTTTTATTAATACACGTTACTTTTTAAATAAGATGAGGCGTATAAGAAAACCGTCTTAATGTTTAACCTTACGTATCGATAAAATCTTAATCAATATATATAATACAGCTTTAAATGATAAACTAAAGGCGGTAATTACGTAAGGCTTAAACTTATAAAACACCGTTTATAGCGTTAATTATATCGTTTTAACTTTTAAAACTAGCCGTTAAGCTTATACCACTATTACTTTTTACGTATTAATTCAAAACATCAAGTTATTATACCTCTTTATGCGAGCGTAATTTAAGTCGACGTCGAATAGAACTATTTATGTTTATTCTTTAACTACCTATTTAATTATCAACTTATTATATTATATTACTAGCATTATTATAATACCTAGCCTCATAAGCTACGCGTTTAAGTTACAAGAGTCTTTTAATGAT